GGGAGGGGGAGGAAGCGGGGGGCTGGAAGACGCGCAGGCGGGGGTCCCGTCTCTTGCGCTGCATTGATGCCTGCATGAATTGAGACGGAGCGGCGGTCGTTCAATTTGAGCATTTGTGGTGAGCAGCAAAGCACCCAAAAATGGGCTTATCACGCAGGTTCTGCACCAGTGGTCGTAACAGCCACAGGAGATCTCAGTTCAGTCGACAACTAGGGACGCACAGTCCATCTGCAGTCAGAAGCTAGTCCCACGTGAAGGGCAGTCTCCTCCGGGTTCCAAACGACCAGTCACAGTTTCCAGATTGGATGCTCGACTCGCCTGCGGTCATCAGCAGACAGACCCACTTTTCAGATCTGCGCCATCCTAGGCAGACCCAGAATTAAAGTCTGCGCCATTCTTGGCAGAGTACCACACCACCAAAGAATCACCAAAGACCAATCCACCATGTTAAGAGTTCGAAAACAACACCGCACTAATGACCCACCCAAAAGTCAAAAGGAAAAGTAGGGCTGCACAATTCTCCATCGCCTTGCTCACTTGATCCTGTTCCATCGGCGCCGCCTCCGCCGGACCCGAGCCTCCCCCTTGCCCCTGCTCCGCTTTCTTAGTGGGCCACGCCTGAGGGCCCTTCGGTCCGCCGGGATTGTCAAACGGAGAGGTCGGGGGTGACCAAACGTCCTCCCCTCCAGCCTGTGCGGCCGGTTGGCCCCTCGGTTGAGTCCCCTGAGGGGCAGGCCCCCCTGACTGCCGCTGCTGAGTCTGGGCGGGGGGTTCCGAACCGGGGGGGCCTTCAGGCGGGAACCGGCGCTTGACCACCACGGCTAAGAGCTCGCCCGACTCCCCCCATTCTCCTTTCAAAGGGAGAAAGGCGGCGAGGCCCTCCGCTCTGGGGGGGGCGATGTAGACCTCCAGATTGGCCACGGGTTCCGCGTACCCGACACGGTTCGCCTCGAGGTAGTTCTGGCTCGCGATCGCGAGATGGTTCTTGGAGTCGTGCGCTTCCTCCAGGTACTTGAGCCCGATGACCATCACGACGCGGTGCTTGTACAGCTGCGGGCTCGTCATGAACGCGCGGAAGTCTGCCATCTTAACCCGCCCCTTAACCTCCACGGTCATCGGCCACGTCTCGATCTGCATACGCTCCCCCCCCACAAACGACGCGATCGTGGGGCACGCCCGCCCGCTAAGCATCAGGTTGCCCTCCCACAGAAAGTCGTCCATGCCCTTATCATCTTCCTCCCCCCCCGCCGCAACGTTCTCCTCTTTCACTGTCGCTTCCACCTTCTCTTCCTCGTCCTCGCTAGCAACCCATTCGCCCATCTTCTCGTCCCCCCCGTCCTCGCTGCCCTGATCGGACCCCCCCCCGGCGGTCATGCACGCCTCCAGATACTCCTCAAGCGAGAGCCCCCCTTCCCCCGTAGGGCCGCCTTCTGCACCCGCACTCTGCTCTTGGTCCGAAGCAGCTGCCGGCCCCGGTGCTGAGACGTGTTCCTCTTTGACGGCTCCACCTGTCCCAGACGAAGCTGGTTCTGTGCTCATCTTCGGTTTCCCGTCGTTGGAAGCCTCCCCAGTCTTTTGGCCCAAAACGTCAGCTGATGTCCTGGTAGGTCCCTCTGCGGATCTTTGGCGCTTTAGCGGCTCCTTTGCGTCTTCTTCCCCACCTGATGAAGAGGTGGAAGCGAAGTGAGCGAATATGCTCAAAGCAGAGAAACCATATTGTTCCCTGATGTGATTCTCTGCTTTGACTTACGGACTGCACTGACTTGTCTGCCAACAGGTCGTCAGAAAAGAATTGCTAGAATTATGTGTCGCCTTCTGTTGTACACCATCAAGCTAAATCAGCGATATATGTCGATATATCAAGACAATCTGATTATGTTAAGCCCACAGCGCATTTTAGGCATGGAGATGCGCGTCTCAAGGAACTGCTCGTGGAACAGAGATGAACAAAGCTGGACCGCGAATCCGCTGGACAATTGGCGAAGTTTCCAGCTAAGACGCTCCTTCTGGCAAACGTTGCCACTTTTAGACAATCGTTGCTCTGTTCGGGGCAATTGCTCAGACATACTTGCTGACTCCTGGTCATCGTACTTTCTCCATGCAACAGAAAGGTGGCAAACTTCTTTACAAGTCAAGACCAAGCAAACAACCACAACAACATACGCAGCGGGATATCGCAAATGTACACCTGCAAATCCTACCTGGCTCCTCCATTTCCGCATCTCTCCCTCCCGCCTCCTCTTTCTCCCCCACTTCGTGCGCCTCCTTGTCACCCTCCATGATCGCTGCGGCCATCCTGTCCTTGTCCATCTCGACGTCCTCTTCGCCCTTGTGGGTCTTCTTGCGAACGCGCCGCAGCGCCTCCAGCGGGTCTTCCGTCAGCACCTTGAGCGCCGAAAGCGCCTCCTCCTTGGCGTGGCGCCAGTCCGACAGCTCCTTACGCGCCAGCTGGCAGCGAGAAGTGAATTGTGAATGCGAGGAGCCAATTTATCTCCGTGGCCGCTCGTTTCGTTCCTGATTGGTCTCGACGGCCAGAACTGCAGGAGTTCCACATCCGTGAGGCCTCTTGAGCCCATCTATCTGACATACTGCTTTGCTTGAACTTGGAGAATCGAGACAAGACATTCTGCATATTTTAAGTTGTTGTCTTCACAAGTCTATTCAAGTATAGCGAGGTGCAAAGACTACCTTCTGCAGCACGTTGGGGCTTGGAGTGGTCTTTACACACGCAACAACTTTTCCCGTTCGTTGAATGACGCTTTCAAACCTGTTCACTCTTCTGCGCCATGCCTCTGGCGCCGACATCTCTGTGCGAACTTTCGCAGCGCGGAGTCCATACACAGCAGCTGTTCTTGATTTCAAAGCAAGATCATTGAAGGCCGGCATCTTTGTACGTGGCCTTCTCGAGTATAGTGATCGAAAGCAGAAAAGAAAAGAGAGTTGAATTGTGAGCAACGATCACAGCAGGACACTCATCTCAAAACTGATCCCAAACACGACTTGAAGGATTGCTTGGGTAAGACCCGATCCGCTTGGATGGTTCAAAAACGAAAAACATACGATCCTGCAAAGAAACGGGCGGTCAACGCACCTCGTCTGAAGTCGCCGTGCACAGCTGCTTTGGCGCGACCTCTTTCGCCAGCACCCTCGACCGGAGCTCCGGGTTGTTCTTCAGATTGAAGACCAGCATGCGGGTCTGCTGGCGGTACGGGTTTCCAGTTCCCCCAAAGTGCGCATAGAGCGCCGCCTCAATCTCCCCCGCCACCTCCTCCGCCAGCCGCAAAAGGCTCGCCTCATCTAGAGCGGCCGCACCGCTCTTGTCTGTGACATCTTCAGTAGCCGCTGTTGGCCCCTCGATTTGCCCTCCCAGATCCGGCTTGAATTTCCCTAGGGTGTGCTCGCCCGAAGGCCCGCCCAAAGCTGCCGCACCTACGCTTTGCAGACCAGCCGCCTTTTCTGTCCCTGGACCGGTCCCCATTTCCGTGCTCTCAGGTTTTGATCCGTCTCCCTCTTCCGCTTTGCCAGGGGGCTCGCTTAGCGGGGCTTTCTCCATCGCTCCAGCTCCAGGGACCCCTAGGGCTGAGACCTCACCGCCTGCGGCCAGCACAGCCAGACCGGATCCACCGTCGCTTTTGTTGACGCCCCCGCTGGTGCCTTCGTTCTTTACCCCGCTCCCCTCCCTACCAGGGCCCTCTACGTGATCCGCCTTTGCAACCCCGCTCGTTTCTGCCAGCCCCGCCATGCCCTCTGTTTCACGCTGCGTTTCTGCAGCGTTGCCTGGCTTTGGGGTCCCCGCTTGGCTTCCGTCGCCCCCACGTTTCGGCGTCGGAGGCTGGGGTCCCGCACCCCCTTCCTTCGCGTCTGTAGCTAGAGCACCCGCCAGAGAGTTCCTGAACGCCATTCTCGCTTTATAGTCCGCATGAGCCTGATCAAACCCCCCCTTCTTCACTCCCCCGGCTTTACCCTCCATCTCCTCCCAACCCCGCTTCGCCCCTTTGCTGCTCTCCTGCCTGCCCACCGAAGGAGGCTGTTCTTTCTTCTCGCTCTTCGGCGGCTCGATCTTTGGCGGCCCGAGCACAACCGCCCCTGCACCCTGCGCTCCCTCATGCGCTCTCCTTGGACTCTCAGGGCCTGGCTGTCTAGCTGGAGACTTGGGCGTCCTAGGGGTCTCCGGAACGGGACCCGACGGAGCCGACTCGGGCGTTTTTACGGTCCGGGGCTCTGCCACACCTTGCCTGCTATGCTTGGACGCCGCCTCCAGGGGTGGGATCAGCGGACGGGCCTTCTTGGCATCCGACGAGGCCCTTTCCGCCCCTTCTAAGCCCACCTCCATCTTTCTTTTCTCCCCCGAAAGAGCCGCCTACACGTACAAGATCGATTTTAGATTTCGGCCTGTTTCATGACGGGGCTCCTGGCGGCCCTTAATAAAGTGGCCCTTGTTGACCTTATTACCTCGTTGCTTACTTAAAGCTGTCCCCTAGGAAATGGAAAATGCCCCCAGCTGGCAATTATTCTACAGAACTAGACCTACAGGGCGAACGGCTTGTCTTCTACTCTACAGTGCCTCCCTGCGCAGCCCCTCGTCAGAGAGGCTGCTTCCGCTTCTGCAGAGAGGAGAGGAGGGGAGTCGACATGCGGGACTGCTTCTACCTTATGCGGTTCAACGGCTGAAGTTGTCAGAAGGAAGGAGCTAGGAAAGGCTTGATAATCTTCTTGTCTGGCTTCCTTACTCGTCTATATACCCTTCTATAAGCAGTCACGGTACCTTTTGGAAGAATTTCCAATGTTTGCATCCTTACTGCTCGATTTTATTGAGCAGTTGACCAAGCCGTTACAGATGATCTCTGTCTACTTGGCTAGGGGCTGGCTGTGCAAACCAAGCTGGAGACAAGAAGATCCAATCGTTTTAACAATTTGATGGGCAAACCATCCATTACTTGGATTTGATTGGGAGCAGCGTGAGACTTCCTAGTACCTCCAAGCATGGCACTTCCAGTTTGCTTGCAACACAATCTATCCATTGCGTAAAGCAAAGTGCCAGCCGGCTCCTCACCTGCGGTTTTGCACTGGGGGCTTTGGCCTTTGCCTCCGCTGGCGCGGTCTTTTCCGCCTCCAGGGTTGCGGGCGGTTTGTCTGGTGCGACCAGGAGCGCTGCTCCAGTGTCAAAGTGGCTGCTCGTGTTGACGGGATGCAGCATATGTGCATGATCGTCGTCGTCTGTGGCGGGGGGATCATCCTTCGTGGCAGGCGCAGAAGCTGGGGGGGCGGCGCTTGTAGAAGGCGCCTGAGTGAGACAGACGTCGGTCATATGAATATAAAGCGCAGTACAATCTGTTGCAAAGCTTGTATTTGGAGCATTCTTAATCTGACTTATTTGATTGGTAGGCGTCCACAGCAACCTGTAGCCACATGAAGCGGTGACTTTACATGTGGAACAATGCGTCAATTGAGGCTGCGATAGATTTCACAATTTCCGGGGCACTGAGTAGAGACTCTTACAAAATCAATGATGATCGGCGCCCCTTGTAAGAACAGCGCGTCAATCTTGGACAGTGTGTTTTGTGATAGTTTCTAGAGGTCCAGACTTTTGCAAGCAGAACAAAGTCTTGACAGTCCACCCGGAACTCTTGCCCTACAAATTTCATGAATTGAAAAGCACAGGGGAGGGAAGCATGCAAATATTGAGATTCAAAAGACCGAGATATGATGAATCAACCCTGGCCCAATGCTTAGCCAACATCAGTTGTCAGAGCATGGACATATGAATTTTCCTCCGTTGAAAAATTGAACACATCCTTCTGCAACAAGGTCAGAAGCCGTTGCTTTAAGGCAAGCTGCATCACTTTGGATGACGCGCCAGAATGGAGTAGAGGCGTCAGCTCTTTCTCACCTTTGGTGACGGTGCCGGTTTCTTTCGTGCCAGGATTGGCTCGTCCTCATCGCTGGGCACTACGACCTCCTTGTGCTTTTCACTTTTGGGGGCACCTCCGCCAGCAGGCTTCTGATCAGCTGCAACAGCGCTTCCGGCCTTCTTGCCATTTGAGGGGCTTGGCAGCTGTCCGAACAGGGGGCACTCCCGATGCGTCCGGATGTGGCCCTTCTGCAGTATGGAGATGTGAGGGAACGTTTATAAATCCACCATCCAGCAAAGGCTAAATACGCAAGCTTTTGAGACTGTTCCAGAAATTGAGGTCTGGAACAGCAGTAACAGCAAACTAAACACTATCAGCTGAAGCGGTCGAGTCGACCTGGTTGCCTGCATTGAGACAACTTGAGCACACAAGCCCGAAACCGTCTGAAAAGTTAGTGTCATGCACTCCCATTGTCGAGCAATCCAATAATACCATAAACTGAGCCATTGAAAATGACACAAACCCGATCTAGGCGCCCCAAGTTGTGAACCAAAGCATGTCATCAGGGGCCTATCTCAAATGTGGAAAGACGAAGCTGACTAATCATACCAAGTTCCAGCGCCACTTATTTGTAAGCATCTTCGAATAATCCTAGTCAGGAAGTAACGAACGGCGCATTACGATAAAGCAGGAGGCGAGATAACAAGGAGGTATCTGGATTGCTGGGGCAGAGGTAGAAGCATGTTGACTCACGTTTCTGCACGCACTGCACACGAGGTCTTCTTTCTTCGGCCTTGCCTTCACTGGGGCTGCCCCCTCCTTCCGCTCCTTCCCCTCTGTTGCCTCTTTCCCCTCCTGCCCCTCTTTTTCCTCCTTCTCTTCTTTACTCTCCTGCTCCTTGTCCTCCCCCTTGACTTTCTCCGCCCCCTGCTCCTTGTTCTCCGCCTTCTCTGCCCCCTTGGCAGCGCCCTGTGGCACCTTTCGCTTTGCAGTTTTCCCCTTTTCCTTTGGTTCCGTGCCATTCCCGGTCTTCTCGTTCGGCTTCACTGCCATTGTTTCTTTGGCCGCCTCTGCAGCTTTGGAAGTTTTTGACTCCGCCCCAGACGACTTCGTACCCGCAGGTGCTTTTGATGGCTTGGCTTCCTCAGCCTTGGCTGCAGCCGCTGGTTGCGCTTTATCCCCCTTGGCAGTTTCCAATGATCGATGTTTCTTGGGGATCTTGGACGGTTCCTCCAAGGCCAAAGGAACCACTGCATGCGCGAACGTGGTGTCTTCAAAAATCCAGGGGTTTAGGGTTTTGTTGTTAAGCGCCCTTGAACGGAAAGCTAAGGTGCTTCCCCTCTCTCCGTCTGATTGAAGGAATCGGTGCTGATGTGACCAAGCAAGGAAGTGATTCCCAGAATGAACACAAATGAACATGAGGACTCAGGTTCTCCCCATCTTTGCCTGGTGTTCTGCTAGCAAGCCTTATACCAAGCAAGCGTGGTGTTTATGGAATTGTACCTCTTCACCTTTATGCTGTGCATTGCTCTTGCTGAGGCGCAAGCATCAAGCCATGCAGCCAGTTAATCGCCACATCACAAGATTGCGAAGAGAGTTTGCTGAATCTGAAATTTCCTAGATTGGACCAACTGCAATCTTCAAAAGCTAGGCTACACCATGCACAAAAGGATGGAGAATTGCAGCTTTACCTGCAGGGGTCTCCTCCTTGGAACACGTCGGGCATACATACTTCTTTATTTTGGCCGCCTCCTGCATAAAAAATATTCCACATGGGACATCCTTCCAACCAGTTTCAATAAGATGGATGGCGCCACTGCTCAAATCTTAATACCGGCAGTTCTGATTGAAAGGACAGATGATCAGTAGGCTTCACTAGGTGCATTAGGTGTAGCTCCAAACATTATGACCAATCCTGCAACAGCATTCTTCCATTACCTTTCTGCCTATAAGAAGGAAGCTTCATTGTACATCTTAGAGACGGAATGAATGCATTTTGTCAAGAAGGTGTGTCCGTAATCACCGATCAGTCAGAATCATCTGAAGCAAGGTGTAGCTTTGTGGTAAAAACAGGATGGCAACTTGATAAGAGACCCAGTGAAGGTAATGCTGGAACTTCCTCTCTCAAAAGTGCATGATTATAGACAGACAGCTTTGCGCTTCTTTCCGGATGCATTGCAGGCCGGGCTGTTTCATTATCTTGTTGATCTGCTTTTGCAGCCCCTGTGCATTTACCTTTAGAGGCAGGTCAGTTCATAAGCAAGATCATGCATACAAATACTGATCTTCTGGCCAACTAAATGAGGGCTAAAATGTCAGTATATGTTTGTGTCAACCAGCGATGCTTTGCCTGAGTGAGCATCAAAACAAAGGGGGGGTAAACAGCAGAAGAAGCAAAAGTGCAACATGCATTACTTGACAAAAGTTTTCCAGAAAATTCACGAGCAATTTTGCTCGTTTTACCAATCTGCATGAATCTATTGGCAATAAGAGGTAAGAAGGAAAAATCAGCAATTAGAAGGCAGTGACCCAAAAAGAGCTGGTAAAACTGTTCTAACAATTGATGGAGTAGGAAGAGCTGATGCATTGATACGACAGAGTGCTTTGTCCGATGTGCTGTTAGTGATGTAACCTCTAGAAGATCTTCCATAACCATTCATTGCCTGCACATTGAGTCCGGCCACTTAACACACAACACACTACCTCAAACAAGCTCTTTGTCAACTTACCCTTTGAGTGACCTTCACGCAATTCCCATGGAACCATTCCTTGCATTTATCACAATGGATCATGAAGTCCCCTTCCTTGTATGGCTTCCTGCATATGCAGTAGACCACGGGCTCGTCTTCGGCATCCTTTGAAGCTTTCTTCTTCCCCAGTGCTGCTCCTTCCTCCTCTTTGAACTTTGCAGGCAGTTTGATCTCGCGCCGCGGTCGACTCTCCATGTTGGCAGACAATGCTTGCAGATGGAAACTGCAGCTGCCTCACATGCATCTGCCGTCTATGAGATGGATCACCTAACGAAGCCACAGCTGACTCGAGGTGCCTGCAGCTCGAGGTCCAGACACGCAGGTCCGCAGAAGATTGTTCTACCAATGAGAGGAGGAAGAAGGCGGCTGCCAGCATGCTCCAAAACAGGCCTGTTCAAAATTCATGCAAGCCTGGTTGTTTGAAAAGAAAGGCGGGCTGCATCTGCAACTAGGCTGGTTCTTTCTCGCTTAATTCGTAAGTTTCTTCGGACTACTGATACGAACCGTTGAAAGTCTGTGAATGTTCCTATCGTGTGGTTGGAAAGGCATTCTGCGGAAAACTACAGTCCTTCAAAAGTTTTGGTTTCTGAGTGTATGTAGAAACTGTTTCATGGAGGCTTGAACTCGGATGCTTGATTTGCAGGCTTTCTAGCTAAAATTCTCTGGCGCTCGCTGATATTCTCTGTACTGTTTACATCTTCGAGTCAATTTCAAGAGCACATTGAGTTGTGAAGCCGGCATATGAGCCCTACACGTTCCGTCTGGCAAACACAGCCCCAACATTCTCCTGCATTCTATGGTAGCTGCCTGACTTTGTTTCATTTGGAGAAGAGAGAATGCATCCAATGCACTGAAGGCAAGACCTCTTACTGACTTGGGAGAGATACCTCCTCAGAACTATTCCATGGAGGCTGGAACGCAAATGGACGGCTTTCTAGCCCCTCCGAGGAGCAGCCAACGGCTCAGATCGACCGCCGCTCCAAACCTAGAAGAGCTCCCCCACCCCTCTGAATTTGCACGGCTGCCCCCTCCGCCGTCTGCGGAACGTCAGGCCCTTCTTTTGCAGCTACAGCAAGCGCAGGAACGTCTGAGAGAGAGCACGAGAACAGCAGCCGAGGGGGGGCCAGCCAGGGCGGCAGCTGGAGGGGGGGGCACAGCTAGGGCTGCTGCAACACCCCCCCGGCCTCAGGAAGGGAACGCTGCAAGTGACCCCCCTTCAGGGGAATTGCCCCGAGGCACCAGGTATGAACGTCTGCGGTTTTTGCGGGATGGGGTGGAGGAGACGCCGGCGGCTGCAGCGCGGGGCGGGTCACCAACCCCAAACCCAAACCCAAACCTGAATAGTAACCCGGATTTAGAAGCCCCCCCAGAACGGCAGGAGGACGAGGGCGGGGCTGCTGCGGTAGATAAGTTTCTTCTGACTGAGGCGGATTTCGAGAGGTTCCCTGCGCCCCCCCCTGAGGAGTTGCTGGCTGACAAGGAAGTAGTGGACTTTTTATTGTTCAATAACTTGCCTGAGTTTAAGGAGTTATCGGTGGCGCAGCGGAAGGATAAGCGGCGGAACATCCGAGATAAGGCGGCGATCTTCGACGTCCAGGGGGGGCGGCTGATCCGCTACCGGCAGGTAAAGCGAAAGCTGAACGAGGAGGGGCAACAGGCGGTGGTTAAGCTTTTGGTGTTAAGTTCGGCGCAGCGAGTCCAAGTGCTCAAGTCGGTGCACGACGAGGGGGGTCACCCGAGTCATTTCGTAACACGTCAGCGCATTGTCGACCGGTTCTGGTGGAAGACACAGGTGGAAGACCTGAAGAACTACTGCCGGGACTGCGAGCACTGCAAGGAGGTGGCGGCGCAGAGGGAGGGGAAAGATAAGCGGCTCGCGCTGAGGACAGCGGCGGAGGTGCGGATCGCGCAGCCGGCGAGTGCGATCGATTGGTTACTGAGGGGGGAGCCGGTACAGCAGAAGAAGGCGGTGTGGCTGGACTGTGACCCAGGTAGGAAACCAAAGCATAGTTGGGAAAGTTGGAAGGAAAGCGACGCCCCCAAACCTGCATGGCCTCGGGAGGAGATTCTGATCTTTAAACGGTCTTATCTGATTACATTTGAATGGTACGAAATGAGCCTTAAGATGCTTAGTAACGACAAGGCAAGCTGTGTCTAATTCTCAGAACGTTAAAGAGTGAATGGTTTTAGGACGTTTCTTAGGGGCGCCAGTGCAGGTTCTATTTTGTCGCTGAAACACGACTTTCTAGGAGTCCCTCAATCCTGATCACTGAACTTAGAAATCTCAATATACCTTTTGCTCTCCTCCTTGGGCCTCTCATGGGAGCATGCGTCCACGTTCTGTGCTTTAGGTCTGCCTGTAGTGAGATATGAGCTTCCGTCTGCTCACAGCATCTTCTCTGCCTCCTCTGAATCCATGTGTAAGGGTGCACCAACAAGTCATTTCTAGTATAACCAGTTTGACCGTTTGCTTTCAAGCTCGGTTCAGTAAAACTCATATCTCGCCGCTGCGCATAAAGTTTCTTGCACCTATCATGGCCATATTCACACCCTGTTGGGACCTGGCCAGCTCTCTACTAGACCAGTGAGTGTGAACTTGCTCTTGTGCAGGGCACGACGACGCGATGGCCATAATCCTGGCCGCATTCACACACAGCCTCGATCTGCTTGGAATCAGCACGGTCGCCAGCAACCAGTCCCTTGAAAAGGTCACTGAGAACGCCCAGCGCATATTAGCGTTGATACACCGAGAAGACATAGGTATGCTTCGTGCGATACTCAAACCCGTGAGAGGGCTGAATGTTCGAAACTTTGTTTGTTCCGCTGAAAACGACGTGTGCTTTCGCATCTGTTGTTGACTCGTTCCCTTCTGCTGTTGCTTCCTTGTCGAACGTGACGCCTTTTGCATTCATCGCTTCGAAGCCAAGCTGTCTGCTCCAGTAAGATCTGTATACGGGGACCTCTGAATTCGTTAAGGCAATTTGTGTTCAGGGGCTGGGGTCGCCTGTTCAAGAGATGACTGCTCTTTGGATGAAATCGAAGCACAAACGATTGACCTGAGGGATGATTCTTTCTTGGTCTCGTACTGGATCGAACATAGGTTGATGTCCATGCTTTTAGATTCGACACCCAGGGCTCGGGCGTTCATATGACCCCTCCGAACGTGCTTCTGTTCGACATAAGAAGCACGCTACCTCAATATGAAGAGCTTTCATGGGGCAATTGTGTCAGTTGCAAGCGACTCCTTGAGCGCAGAGTCAGTACTGATCCTAACGTTCGTCAACTCGTGACGCCTTTTAAACAGCTGATTGTTCTCTCAGAATAGCGCGTTGCGTAGTCTGCGCGCATGGGCCGAGCCGTTCGACGTCAAAGGCTGATCAACGAACGAGTTGAACGAGGGAAACAAACGCTTAGGCAAGGAGCGCGTTCACCTTCATAATAAAGCTCGCGGCCACTACTCGATAAGAATCCAATCAAGTGCGGAAGCCAGAGTGAAGAAGCGCCTATCTCTCGGTCGAGGGAGAATTACTGTGTAAAGAGCGGCAATATTACTATGAGATCGACTTCCAGTTGAAGACTTTCGGGTGGGTGGACAGGCGCTTTCAAAGCGAGAACAGTGTGTGAAAGCGGCTGTTACAATAGATCAATATCCAACTCAGCTGGTCCACTTTTGTGAACAGGTGTCGTTCCTGGCGCGACAAAGCCCCTCCTGCGGCCCGTGCGCACGTGTCCGGAGATCCACGGGGAGTCGGGGCTCGATGGGGCGAGGCTTCCGCAGCCAACGGTGCGGCCGCTTTTGGGGAAGTCGGTCAACGTCATGTTTGACGCCATCAGCAAGCGATTCAAGTGGGTCACTGAGACGATCCTTTCTGCTTGCAGATGGCTACGTTCTGGCCTGCTCTCTTGTGTTCTATGTTCAGCTATGTTCCTTTTTCCTTTTTGCGCTTCTTTGCGCAAATGCTCGCCCGAGTCCTCCTCTCGGTCGAAAAGAAAGACGTCTAAGCAAAAGCTTCGAGGCGAGGCTGCCCATGTCTTCGGTCATTGTAATCAAGGTTTGCAGCAACGGGGGCCGATGCGATATTTGGAGTTTGGCCTTCCCTTTCGCAATGAATCGCTGTAAACAGTTTGACCTTTTCAAGCCCGTTAAGCAAGCTCGGGACATTCTGGTGCGGGATCTGACGAAGACGGCAATGGATTTGCGCTGAACCCTATGATGACTCTGCAGGAACGACGGCAGTTCGCAAAAGGTGTCCCTTGTAGCGACAGGGGCACTGACGAACATTGCACTGCTGCTCAGCGTCTACCCGGAAATCAAGGAAATGATAGAGGTGGGTTTGGTCCAACCGGTATGTTTTCTTTAATCGTTACTGTTAGTGAAGGTTCCGCTTTTCTGCAAACGCTTGCGCATGACTTCTTTGCCGAACGGCAACTGCAATGAAACAGGAGCTAGACAAGCACTGGTAAAACAGGAATTCGCAACTGCGACCGACTGAGCTTGCAAATTTGCCTGATCATGAATCTCGCATCGGCAAGCTTGTTTCGTTAAACAAGGGCACCAGTGCGTTCCAAGCCCACCTTTCAGCGTACCAAGGCGATTGATGGTGGCTTGTACGTCGGCTAAAGAGTTGCGTTTACCGCAGCGACCGCAACAGTTGCATTGACGCTTGTCAGACGCCGAAGGGTTTTTAGGGAGCTTGCATGAAGATTTTCACGAGTCTAGCTGTCCAGTCGCAGTCGAAAGGACTCAGGGGCGACCCGCACTGAAACGACGTGTTCCGAGCATCCGGGGCAATAGAGAGACTATCTGCGGATCCACTGGGCTGTCAGTGATGGGTTTCGGAAACTCGAGGTACAAAGCGCTGATGGCTTGTGGAATGATCGGACTGATTGTTACAGCTGTTTGCGTCAAACTTGCCATCGGTTCCAAACTCCCTGAGCCGGGTTCCTGTTTTCGAGCCATCCAAGGCTTGCCATGTCGTCGATCGAACGGTTCAAAATCAGGAACCAAGATCGGAGCATTGAACCTGATGGCAGGTTTGACGCAAAGAGCTGTACCTTGCAGACAAACGGAATTTTGTCGCCGACCATTTGTCTCTGTGTCTTTCTGCAGATCACGATGATGGGTGAGTGACCCCGCCGGCAGCCAGGGTGCTTCCGTGCAATTCCATCTAGCTCGAGCTTCTACTCACTTTTATTTTCTGCAAACACGAGCGAACAAGCGCATCGACACAGTGCTTGCTACTCGCTTGCTACAACCTTCCGGATTTATCTGTGATTATGACGCGACGAGCCACGTGTTTTGATACTCAGAAAGTGCCTTTCTGACGGTCCAATGCTTGTTAGGTGCTTGGCGCTCTTTCCGAAGTAGACTTCGCTCCTCCAAAATGAGCCACGTGATCTTTCTGCCCAGTACTGTTTTGACCGACAGTTCATGAGGATCTCATTCAAGAGCCTGCTCCTCTGCTAACAGATCTCTCAATCTCTTCAAAACGAAATTACGCTCAGACTTTACAGAAAATATATTCTGACTTGCTTTTCAGGGGGATGCCTGGGGATCGGGAACACGGGCCCCGTAGTGGAGTTCAACATTCAGGTATACCTTTGGTTTCTTCTGAGTTCTTTTGTATCAATCTTGAGGGCTTTTGCTGAGTCTCCTCCCACTTTCGTCTCCGCTTCGACTGCTGAAGCCAGCTTACGGCTGTCAGGGTGTAAGGCCAGGAGCAAGGCGGATGAATTAACGACTATATGCGAAGTGGCATGACCAGTCCACCAGTACCAGATCTATGGTCGGTCATTATGGTTTTGAATTTACGACCCACTTTGCCTTTTTGTCCCTCGCAGTGCGACCCAGAAGCCGCAAGCATGGTCTTCGAGTCCGGGGTTTCGGTGACCATGGTTCCGCTGGAGGTAAGGCCGGGGAATCCGTTGCGGAACCTATCTGCATTTTGGAGTTGGAAGATTGCGGAGCTGCTGTTGTTGATGCAGAAACGAGAAAGAGCATCGCTGACTGCAAGAAATCTGCTCTTCTCTAACTCATCAACGAACGAGGCCCCGTAAGAGGGATTGCAGAAGCCGTTATGTCTGCAAGGAAGAGGCATTCTCCACCAAATAACGCCGGGCACATATGTCATTTCTTGCAATCCGTTGTTCCTGAAAAGTGAGCTACCGTTGAGTGGTGCATCTTGTGCTCGATGTGGCTTCCCTCCTTGTCACACTTGTCCAACACACTCACTTCTACAATGTACCACCTTGTTGTCTATATCTTCGAACGGACAAAGCGTGCTAAACTGTGATGCTGACGTATGATGCTGACGTGACGTTGCAGGTGACGCACACCGCCAACGTGTCGCCAGCTGTCATATCCGCCATCCGTACCACAAACCCGACACCCTTCCGAGAAACCAGTGAGCAGCTAGCGCCTCAGTTCCTATTGCACACGTCTTTCAAGCAAAACAGAGTGAACCCCTCAGCAGATTTCAACAGGTAGGAGATGGCTGTTCCAAGCAACGGGCGAGTGCTAATAGCATCGATTTTGCATTCAGTTTACGGCCACGTGGAGGTAGGTCACTGCTAAAGGGCAGGGTGAGTCTGGTTTGCGGTTATAAAAGTGTGTACGGCTGGGGCGCATGTTTACTTTGAATCTTGAGTTCGGTCAAAGCCTGGGGACTCATCTAGCCCAATGCAAGGTACTTCAAAGTGTATCGGAAAGCTGTAGAAGTGCTCGGCAGTCTTGTTCCGGCTTGAGTCGCGGACAAATCTCAACTGCTCGGCAGTCTATCCCGGCCTGAGATGCGAGAAATCCTTAGGTTGCGCGTGAGACCAACGTCCACTCCCATACCTACCAATGCTTTTGGACTTCAGGAGTCTCTTTCATTGACGGTTTCTGTTTCCGGCGCTCAAGAGCAAGTGACTACTTTGCTAACGTCGGTCGGCCTTGAGCTCGTCGTTGGGGAGGCGTTATGCCGATTGTTCTATTGCCGCTAATGCAGACCCCATTTTCAATTCAGTAAGCTCACCATTCTCAACTCTGTCCGCACTGGCTGTTGCCACCTGCCCTTCATTTGGCTTGCTGCCTTCAGTCGCCCATTTAGACCATCTTCGGGCTTAGGGCAGTCATGCCTGAAATGAATCCCGCTAGATTCTTAGAATGGTAAGGGCAGTGTGCAGTAACCGGGACGAGTGGGGTTACTTGGGGGTTTAGGCTGGGTACGGGTGCGGAGCGGGTGTTCTTTTGGGTCAAGATTTTAGTAAACCCCAAATCTTGAAGCAACTGGGCCTTAACTTTCACTACGTTCATAGTCACCTGAAACAGGGCTTCTTTTGATGTATGCTAGACCGTTACTTCCATTGAGACCTGGCCACACTTGGTCACGTCAAAGGATGCCTGCTGCTTTGAATGCTCGGAAGGCAATTGCCGAAGCTTCCAACACCATACATCTCCCCTTTCTGTTGGCGTGTGCTTACGTCATTCCTGCTGAATGAGGTGTCACCATCACTTGCGTCACCTGAGCAACGTGATTGGCTCTTCCTCGCAATCTGCTCTTACTTCCTTTCAGCTGAGGGGCACTGCACTCAAACATGCACTAGGGCTTTACGCCGCTCCTTTGTGACAGCAGCATGTGGCCTTTGCTGACGTCACGATATCACGAAATGACTGGATTTGCACCTATGACGCGTCGCCCCTCCTCGCATCTTCTGTCTGGCAAAATCTTTGGCCTCTGCTGACGTCAGCAAACGTCTTTGTGAATCTCGTCACCCCTCCTCGCAGTCTGCCACCCGCTCGAGTTCTTCCAAGCAAACAATGCAACAGGAATTGCCTCGGTGGCGTCTGTCCCTCTCCTGACGAATGGAACAAGCTGCTTCTGCTGACATTATCAATTCACACCGTGAACACGTGTCGTTCCCTCCTCGCAGTCTGCCACCTGCTCGAGTTCTTCAAGAAGACGTACCGCGAGGTGTTCAACAAGGAGTTTCCGCCCCTGCACGACCCTTGCGCGGTCGCTTACGTCATCGAGCCCGAGATGTTCAAGGTAAAAGTGACGTCACTTTATCCAGTCGAGTCCACTACCAATGCCGACATGTAAAGTGAAGCGTCTTTCTTGCTCGTCACCTCCGCTGAATGTTCAAGTCATAGTTGCAATGGCGGAGCAGGGAGGGGGGGTCTAATGGCTCGTTGGCAAGAGCATCAATCGCAATCATCGCCGGAGTTGGACGTTTGAATCAAACATATCGTCTGCCACGGTTAGCATCTGGACTGGAACATGCTGTTAAGTACGTCTTATTCCGGTGCGGATCTCTGAGATGGGCAAGAATACAGAAAGTAGTGACTGATTCTCCAAGTGCATTTGTTTGCAAGCGGCGGCGTCTTCAAACCCGCCCTCTAAGACTGTGCAAGTACTTTCAGATGTGTGTCCATTTATTTTTTGATGCGCCTTAATGCGGTCGAACTGGGCCACCGTCTCACCGAGCAAGTGGGCTCAACCGGTCTGGGTAACTTTGATTAGATTCCGTTCGTTTGAGTACTTGATGAGAACGGCAATTTCATGTGCTTCGCCTGCGGCTTCGTTTGTGATTTCTTCAGAGGACTTCTGGTTTGGTCCGAAAAATGTTTTTCGGTAGGACACAAGAAAATGCTCACCGAACGGTTCGTCTATTGCAGGTGGACCATCTCCGAGTCGACATCGAAACACGTAGCGAGGTAAGAAAGGCGCCAGCCATGCTTCATTCGTAGTATCCGTCAACGCTATGGTCTTCAAGAATCTCGAGGTTTCAATTTCCTCAAGCCCCTGGAATCTGCAAAAGTCCCTCCAAAGTCTGTTCAAGGGTCCCCCGGTCAACATCGACGTTCGTCGTGTTTTGAATGAGTTAAGGAGCGAGTTTATCGTCGACCCACTGCCTCAAGCCGAAAACGTGCATCGCTTCAATGTGTGTCGATCGTTCGTGTGTTGCCGTCCCAAGGACGAGATCAGAACTAACCCATGCTCCCGGCGAAAACGTCCGACAGGAGATCAGACTGCGGACTCTTGCGAAAAGTGACTGCCAAAGGCGACACTTGGTGCAGCTTTTGTAACCGTGAAAAGATTTTGGTTTCCTGAGTCCTTTTTACCTGGGCTGCAGTTGAGCGCGGGGCAAACCGTGGTCGACGTTTGGAAGCAGAGCGGTCGGCCGCCGAACGTGCACGTGGCTAGGAAGATGGACGTCAAAGCCTTTTTCAACACGATGCTTTTGGCCCTGGATAAAGCAGACGCCAGGATAAAAGCCGTCACAGATCTCAACTGGCAAGGCAACTGCATGAGCCTTCTCGGTTGATATCTGTAAGTGGAGTACTTAAACTTGCTCGATCCTCGTTCTTTATTACGTTGAGTCAGGTTTTTCGGACAAATGGCACCTTCATTCCGAAAGATTGGAAAGGATGCATTTGAACGAATCCATGTTCAAGTGGCTGGAGGTCGGGAATCTGTAGTAGATACAAGCGCACAAAGACGCCTGTCGCCTCCAACGGGCCGCTGGCTAAAGAAGGGCAGCGCCCCTGTAAATATCGCGCCGAGTTAATGCCAACACGATTCCCAAGTTCGAGCTGGCGCGAAAAGAAGCTAGCTCTGTCAAACAGGGGGCGGAGTCTTACATGTACTAGCGGCGATCAAAAGTCTAGACTGAAGTGGTTGGCTGGCCGGTCAGGATATCTAGTTGGGCCACATGCAACTAACAACGGGCAGGGCGGTCACGCCAAGATCAAGGGTTTCCGACAACCCGTACCCTCATGAATCTACCGTAGCTATATATTGTTGGATCAAAAGTCTGGCTGACGTACTACCTACATGCAAATGTCCGATCGACATAAATCAACGTGCCAGGTCCGGCCATTTCATTGCGATTCGATCATCATTCGAATATCGCGATCAAATGACCATTGAATGCATACTCGCCAGAAAGTATTAAAGCGCTAATTCGTCCATGCTGATCATATATGTGAGAATTTTAAGCATTTGCTAATTAAGAGAACTAGTACGGTCCCGCTTATATAGTTCCGCAGAGAGTTTCATAAACACGAATGAGCCCAATCATTGTGGTCGAACCTAGACGATCGTTGACTATACACGGGTACGTGCCATGTCAGTGAGAACTGCCTGGCTCAGTGCGTTGAAGCAGCAGCTATAAGTTATTGGGCTCATGAGTCCGCTAGATTGCGAACATGGATGTGGCCCGGGTGGACCGACAGTCACTGCGCGCCGGCCTTCGAAAAAGTTCGAATATGAAGCTCTGTCCGTCTAAGATTGGATCAACATTGCATCAGCCTGCTGCTTGGGGATCCCTTTTGTGGTCAAGCGTTTTGCTGGCCGGTAGATCCCTGTACTTCCGTACAGACTTTTGCAGTCAATCATTGATGCAGCCGACACGTCGATAAAATTAATATCTGACGTGGCGTCGAGACATGCTCGCTTTTTAGTATCGAATCAACGGAGGAGTGCAGGGCGTACTTTCCGGATACGGGTTTTCGACGGACTGTCTTTCGACGGCAGGAGGTTCCCCATGACACGTCGGACCGGTCCAGTCGGAAATGTCGGCAGCCAGTTCCGTACGTCCAATCATCACCCGAGCTCTTCTGGACACGATAGCGCCCCGAGGGCACACTCTGAGTCTAGACTCTAGGATATACCTACCTACCTGGCTAACTTCGTCTGCAGACGTCTGCATTTTGCAAGCCTCCTCCCACGTGGTATACCATGTGCTGCATGTACCGTGCCACTACCGCACGTACAGTACCGTCGAGGCTATCAGGCAGCTAGGAGACTTGGAGCCAAGGAGATGAGCGCCTCTGTGATTGGCAGAGATTCTCATTCTCTTTGTCAGTCAAAATTGTGAGTAGGTAATACACAATTGTACGGGCTGACAGGGAAGAAGATGGTTGACAGGGAACTTTGTTTACCAGTTTGAGTGAAGACGAAAGGGGAAGCTGACCTGATTCCTGAAGCTGATTGGCTAGCACCTACGTGCTGACGGGTCGGACGGTTGACCGAAGGTCTCGTGACATGAGGCGGCGGAAATTGGTGGGAAAGAGAATCATAGCAAAGAGGCTGCGACAGGAGAAGCTACGGTACGTTACCAGGACGGAGAAGTATAGGTTACCTATTCCCCGAGGGGGAGAGGTTACGTGTGATATTGAGCTCCAAGGCGTGAAATTCCACGAGGGCTGCAGGGCTGTACAATGTACTGCATACTAGCTGCCCAAAGCTCATGCTGCATGGCAGTACCACAATGCAAGGGTGACGGGTCCATTCGTAATCTGACGACGCCTGCGGACAGTTGCCGACAGCTGGTGTGCAATGGTTGCCAATTGGCGCCCGCAACTTCGCCCTGTGACGTCCGTACCCGGCGACACGTCAGCTCATGACGCGCGCCAAATGATTTCCCGGCCGACGCGGGGTGACCCGCCAATGGGCGGCGGTCTCCCTAGATTCTGTAAGCATCTCAGAGCATGGCGGGCTGAATGCAGCCAGTAGGAGGGAAGCATTCACGAGGGAGTGACTGGCGATGCACATCCACGGATTCGCGTGCTCGCGAGCTCAGGGTCTTCTGAGGGGAATTGTGCCGTCAGGTTATCCAGATTCGTCTAGCTGGAAAAGCACCAGCTCAGCTTCAGATTCAATAACCACAGGATCGTAACCGCGCTCCCATGCGCCAATGGAAGCACGGAGTGCTCAGCGGCGTTTGACTGCTCCGCTGAGGGGGAAGTGTTGACAGCTGTAAACCAGACAGTAAGACCGGGGCGGTCAACGGTTGACCGGCAGCTGAAGCAGCTGTGTTTTCAACCGGGTTGGTCCCGTTGCAGCATTCCCCCATAACAGCTGATCTTTTGACGTCAATGCCGTCCCCATGCCGTCATGAGAACATTCGAGAAGCCGAGACCGGCGAAGACTCTCGTGCGCATTGGCTATAAAATCTCCCTTGAAGCTCCAACGAGCTCAAAACTTTCAACGACCTCTTCACCACAATTCCAATTGCCCCCCAGAGCTCCTCAGCAACAAAGCGCTTCTTCATTCAGCTCAAGTAACTTCCACCAGTCTGCAGAATCATGGCCCGCACGTTCATCCTCGCAGTGGTGCTCCTCTCGGTGGTGTCATCCTCGGCGGCTGTAGGTGAGTGGACATCCCTTGACACTATTGGACACTGAATGAGGTTATTGAGAACACTCTGCTGCTACAGAATGCTGTGCCTGTGTCTGGCCAGCTTTGCTCTGTTGGCACCATTGAGCTGAAGGTGACACCTTAGCCCTGTCTTGCCCAATTATCGGGTCCTGAATTGAGGATGCAGTAGTGTTGAGTGTGTAGCAAAACTCTTGCATTTGGGCACAAAAGGTTGAATCTATGCTGAGAAGGACTAGTCTTCAGCTGAGCACCTCAAACCAGTGCCAAAATGTAGCAGCTTTGACAGGGGATCCCTAGTTGACCACCCCTCACAGAAACAGACAGAATGTCAATAACATCGTCTACTGCTTGCAATTTGACCCTTTCTGTGTGCAAGGTAAGCCCTTTGTGTCAAGAAAACGCTTACAGGCTTCCCCCAACTCCCATTCAGGTTATTGACACAATTCTTTTATCTACTGTGCAGGCCCTCCCGCCCCAGGTGAGACTGAGCGTTGACATACAATCTTTGCCATATGTCAACCTTTGCCATATCGGCAGTTACCACCTAACAAGCTCACTAGACTTGCGCTACGGACTTTCGGGCTCCAAGCTACAGGGGGCATCCATGAAGACCAGAATTACTGAACTTGACTTGTCATTCCCATGGCTTTTGTCGTTCAGTTCTGGTGGATAGATATGGGCAGTGGCAATGAGTAAAGGCCTCATATGGTCAAGCCCTGTCTCATCAATTTACTTTGAAACCCAGGGCAAAATCTTCAAGGTTCTTCTTTGTTGGGCAAGTTAGGGCACTTGTGTGCATGCTTTCAGGGGGTTAATGTAGTGTCCAGTTTACTTTGAGGGGCTGGAAGTATTAGACATTCTCCTTTCCTGGGATTCCTGTATATGTGCTTAATAAGTAGCCTGCTTTGAGGCCAGTATGGGAGAATACAATTCATACTTTGGGGAACAACAGGTCATGTTACGCTGAATGCAATTAAGAGAATGGCATTTGCTTAGCCCCGCCTTCTAGGATTTGCATTTGGGCATATATTGATTCTCTTTCCACCTTATATGTCCCTCTGAGAGTGGTGTGAATGCGCTTTGCCGTTAAGAACCTCCCCCCCAGCTCAGGGATCCCTTTCAAGCGTGTCCTTGAATGATTTTGGTTTGGATTTCGTTCCCCAAGCCCAAATACTTCCGCAGGATGAGCCTTTCATTGCTTCAAATGCCCCCCTTACGACTGGTATGCCACCAGTATTCTGTAACCAACTCTCTTGCGTCCTCATTTTTCTCTGTGACCGACTTCTTAGTAACTGCTCCTTTGACTCTAAGACACGTTTCTGCCGCCTGGGTTAACCCTGCAGGGTGCAGCTCAGACGGACCTTCAGACTTGTGACGAACTTACTTTCTGATTGACTTTGTGACTGCCTTTTACCTTCAGTTAACTCGTTATAAACTTCGTTCATGACTGACTGAGGACCCCTTCAAATAATGCAGCTTGCAGAGTGTAAGCTTTGTGACGAACTTACTTTCTGACTGACTTTCTACTTCAAAAACTGGGTTACTAACTTTCTTTCATGACTGACTGAGGACCCCTTCAAATAATGCAGCTGGCGCGACCGTGCCCGCAGCGACCGCATGCCCCAACTCACCCGCCAACACCCCCACCAACTCCTGCTTCAACAATGGTGAGCTCTTGTTCTCGTTCAAGTCCAAAAATGTTTGTGTGGCCATACAACTTAGAAGAACCTGCCACAGTTTTCCTGACACTCTGTTCTAAAACATTTGCCCTTCAAGTTCATGTTCAAATTTCAGAATGGGCACCAGACTTGGAACAGAACCTGCCACTGTTTATTTTCTGACACTCTGTTCTAGGCCACTTCCTTCTTCCCCATTTTCAGTAGGACATGTGTGGAGCTGAGTCGGTAGAGGCATATAGTTTGCATCTAATCCAGGTTCTCCCGTTAACCATCCCTTGCCCTGCCCCTTAAACAGAGCAGCTATAGTTGCGCACCGAAAAGTAAGGTCCCACGGTCAATTTTTGGTGACTAGCTTTAGCATGTCAGGTCAAACCGAAACAAAATGTTGTCAGAACGACCTTGACAGTTGAGTGTCAGCTGGTCAGGACAAGCTTTGAGACCACCCTTCCGTCCCTTGGTTCGCCCTGACGTCATCCATAGCTGCCGTCATCCCTAGCTGACGTCAGCCCTCCTCGTCGCTTGCAGGTGGCACCACTCACGTCTGCTGCATTAACCCCGACTCGTGCGGTGACAAGGACGCCAATGGTGGCGCCACGTGCACGAACGGCAACTACTACATCTTCCCTCCCCCCCCTCCCATCACTTTCACTCTGATCAACGGCGGTGCCGCGTGCCCTTCTTGCAACGGCGTCCCGTCCAACGCATGCTTCAACGCCGGCGTAAGCATTGGAATCCCTAGGTCCTCCTAGACTTCCGATTCGTCGTTCTTAGATTCCCTGTTTGCTTTGGTTTAATGCTCATCTCTTGAGTCTTTGCTGCTGAAAAAGCATGTTTCCAGAGTGTGTTGCTCTTCAAGGGAGTCTTACAAGGACTTCACTTGCGTCAAGAACTTACTTGTGATTGCGTTGAGAACGAGATTGAGGCAAACTATGGTCCTCAAAGAAGTCTGTCCAAATTGCATCGAAAATGGTCGTCGGTTCGGCTAACACCCGTTCACCTCGACGAATTCGAGTAAGTTCTTGGAGTCCGAGGCGCCTCTTTGACGCCATTCACCTTACTGCTAAAAGTCAAGGTCTCTCTGCTAGCCCGTTTTCAACCGACTTTCACTAACCCGAGTTTATGCTAAACCACTCGTTAGGAGACGTAGAGGGTGTGCTGCAGTCATACTAATGCTGACCATTTCCGAACCCATTTGCTGACCCTGGTTTTCGTTAACCCACTCTACAGGGCTCCCAGAAGGTGTGCTGCATTAACCCCAGCAGCTGCTCCTCGACTACCCCCACGTGCAGCAACAACGCTTACGTCACCTTCACCGGCACTGCGGCCAACCCCGTCCCCTACAACTGTTAGAGCAACCGGGGATTGTCCACCGGGCGCATGCGCGCGGGTGTATTCTAAACCGAGCGTGGCCGGGGGAATTACCGGTTTTAAGTTTTGGTCCTAGATGAGGGTTTCGGTGGACGTCCCGGTTTTTGAGTTTTGGTCCTAGATGAGGGTTTCCGGGCGCTTACCGGCTTTTTTAAGTTTTGGTCCTAGATGAGGGTTTCACAAAAGTGAAATGAGATGAGTAGACATGAGTGTGTCCAGTGAAACTGGCGCGCAGAAACGTTTTTGCAATAAGGAGTGGTTCTGCGGGTGAAGAGACAATCTTGAGTAGAGATGAGTGTGTCCAGTGACTGGCGCACAGGAACGTTTTGCAATAAGAAGAGAATCTGCGGTCGCGACCGTCTGCCACTTGTAAGATGGGGACTAAGCGAGCCGAAACAGTTTTGCTGCAAGATATGCTAGAACACCGGAGTAATCGTCAGGCGTCACAAACGAAGCCTAGTAGCGTTTTCTTAGAGGTAACAAGAACGTGGCAATCAGATGAGATGAGAGAACAATGAGACACGTGTCTCGCGTCAACTCAATGTGAGAGACGTCGTCAACTACCTAAATAAAGTGTCAGTAGTTTACTTTACGTTCTCTGCGCTCACTCACTGACAAACTGCAATGCACACGTGGCCGCAAGTGCCCAGCCATATTGATGACATGCCAGATGCATGAAAGACGCTCTTAAGTGACTCTCCGTTCTAAGAAGTTGTCATGTTCGCCAGAGTGACAAACTTCAATCGCATGTATTGCCCTTGAGCAGTATTGATATCCGTAAGAGCACCATACGACGTTGAAGCTAGCGGTGCCCACATGTCCGGAAGGGAAGTGAACGTGCCACCGCGATTGCCGCACAGTCAAGAAGACTGGTTCATAAAACACTCATAAATCCGCAGTTAGCCTGCTCAGCTCAAGTGAGAGATGACGAGATGAGAAAAACTGCATCTGATCCTCGAGTACTACTAAGCGGAGGTGCCTCAAAGGTACAATTTGCGACAACCTCTAGAGATCTCTGTTGCCTTTTTGGGCTTCGATCGCTCTCAGTCAGCCCCTAGCGACCCCCTTCTCGGAAAACAAAGAACTGACCCTTCAAAAAAAAGAGCGGGACGAAATTGGACGGTCCTCAGTGTCTGCATCTCAAAAACAGCACTTCAAAAACTTGAAACAGTTTTGATGCTGTAGCCCGCGGCTGTCATTGCTTTCTCTCAATCGCTCGATCTGCTGCCGGATTACTTCGATTCAAATTGTCAAGCTGCCCTCCTGAAATCGGGCAGGCAGGCAGGACGTTGGTGGTCTCCAAGCGGCGCCACAAAACCAGAAGTTTCTATGAAATATAAACTGTCGGTCGAGCTACTTGCCTGAACATCGAAACGCCTGTTGGCAGTGCCGACCATCTTGGCAGGCTGACGCGGCACAAGCTCATACGTATACCGACTGTCGAAACTCAGCCGATCCGCAGTAGGAGCATTCATAACAACCCAGAAACAAGCACGGGCAACGGGAAATGAAAATTTCCAAGATGTCCTACGAAGGAGCAGTGCCTTGCTATGAGGATGTATCCATGAAGCGCGCGGAACGCGTCAAATGATTTTGAATCGCCTCGCAGTTCTTCATTCACGCGTGCAAATGGACGGATTCTGCCATCGTGACCCCACAAGTACAGAGATTCGAATCTTCTGTGTCCTTGCAAGCAGGCGAAGCTTGAAGAAATACTCCCTTAGGAAGATCATTCAATTAGGAACATGCTTCCCGCCGTGGTCATAATCATTAAAGATTCCGGTCCAAACACTAGGTCAGCAGGCTTCAAAATAGTCTGCTCATTGCATGATGAATCGAAGTACTTTGGCTGACTCCACACACCACTCCTGTATGGGCAGGCTGCGTACGGTACGGGGTCCGCAGAAAAATAGTTCAAAAATGACAGAACTTAGAGAAAAATGCTCACGTATCTGACGAAGATCTAACCGTATGCGAGCCTGATCAGCGTCATATGGAATAGAGAAGTTCGATTGGAACACACACAAACCTAGGCTGATGTGCTCATGCATCATTCCACGGGCGTGTGTGGTTATGTGGATCCATCTAGAACGAAATCTGAACAAGTCTTTGTCCTGCTTCCGCGGACGAGGCGTCATCTATCTGACCACCCTTGCCGCTGAAACCGTGCTTTCCTTGAGGAACAAGATACACAGGAGTTTCGCAGTCTGGGATTTGGTAGTCTATTCCTCTGCAGTCCTTACAGCTTAGGGTGTAGATTCTATCTATAGGCTTGCAAGCCACGGGCAAGACGCCCCCTTCGACGGTTATTTAAGCGTAGACTTCCACGGAGATATCGTCCTCGACTAAGCGGGTGCCATCGGCCCCTGGTGCGATTTTCTCCCAGTCTTTGATCATCTCACTGTACGTTGCACCTAGAAGCTTCTGTCCGGACTTGGTGAACCTGAATTCCAGAGGGACATGAGGGAGAGTCTCTTGTGTTAACTTAAAAACCTCAGGGTCCCCTTCGTAGCACGAGTGGTCCATTGGAAAAACTTCAGCATCATGAAAGAGCCTCCCTCGAAGCCTGAAAAGGTACACGTATCGGGCCACGTGAATCTTGACATGTCTCGTGGGCTTCGGCACGCCGCCTCTTGCAAACAGGAGCAAGAGCCGCTTCTTGATTTGTTCAGAACTAGACTTTTCTTGTTCCTGCGTTTGTTCTCGAATCATTGTCCCCCCTGGTTTCGCCGCTTCTAATCTATGCCTGGCTCTCACTAACGCGAGTTTCTTGTACCCACCTTGCTTTGCACCCCGAATCGTGCCCATCTCTCTGCGACAAGGCGCAAAGAATGCTTCCCTCCAGACGGCAGGGTTGCTTTCTGAGGATCCACTTGCAAGCAAAGGTCGCCCGCAGCAAAGAGAGAGGGTCTTGCACCGCTAGCTTCAACAGGATGCCCAAGACTGTGTCGCTTGGGAGGCCCTCCATCATGCTGACAAGGATTTTAAAAGGAACGCGCCAGTTTCTGAGAAACAAGAAAATTTCTTTATGCGGAAAGAGGCCTGCTTGAAGGGGAAGAGAGCTGCGCCCGACGCGCTAGCGCTCTATGGAACAATGACCCGACGGTTCTGGCAGCATTATTGTCGCGGCCGCGGCGGCGGCTGTTGCCCAATGGCCAGTGCAGGCGCGCCGCGCTGCCGCGTCGAATTTCCGAAAGCCTTCAGTGACGCGGGCGCGGCCGCTTCCATAGCTGGCCCGCGGCCGCGCGGGACGGCCGGCCTTGCGTCGCCAGAGCCCAAAGACGTCGATTCTGCTGGAAATTACAGCAGAGTAGTCTCCCTCTCATTTCATTAGGAGAATGCACCTCAGCCGTTCATTGCGATAACCCGTGGCTAGATGATGAGATAACCTGTCAAACCTTAAAGCACCAGAATGCTCAGCCTTGCGCGTGCCTTTGCGCCACCAGCCGAGCGCGCGGTCGCGCGTGACTCTTAAACCTCATAACCCTCGCTGAGATTTGAATTTCAACCTCGTCGCGTCAGCAGCCATAGCTGACGCCGTGAGCGTGTCGCTTGAACAAAGCGACTCTGCTTGACGCTTGTTCAAGACCAGAAGCAAGAGCAAGTAGTCATCTTGCCTTGCTCATTTGCTCAGCAATTTCGCTAAGGCGCAAGAAGAAACTCAGAGCGCCTGCCAAGGCGGCGCCGCTGAAAAGTTTCACCCACCCTCCTTCCCACTCGCTTAGCTCGCCTTACCTGCGCATGTACATCTCGTCACTGCTGATGACCTCTCCCTTCCCTGCCATCTCGCCGCGCCGGCCCTCAACCAACGCGGCCATGTTGAGCAGGCTTGGACACGTTCCTCCTTTTTTAAACAACCCACTAAGATGCCTCACTTCACTAAGGACGGACAGCCGAGGCGCCTCCTTGCAATTCACTTCTGATCAAAAACGGCGGCCCCTCAACCACCGGACCTGGTTATGAACAAAACATCGAAAGTGGACACATCACTCATCACCGTCTCTGCCGAGACTAGCCCCATCATGCTAGTTTCGGTGACATGACGTCAGATCAGCTTCAGTAACGTAACCGAAGTTACATCACTGATCCACTCGCAGTTCCGTCTGCGTATGGAGCCCCTATGCCGCCACCCGAGATTGGCGGTGACGGGGCAGCAGATCTGTGCCGTCAACCCGCGCAAATCACCTTTCTTCTGACGGTGATGAGTTACTGACAATCATCGAATTCCTAAGACTTTCCATTCCTATGGAAAGCACTCTCGTCCCTTTCTTCGAAGTTCTTTTCTATATGGCTGAAAACCCCTGTATGTCTGGCTCCAGCTGGATAGCGCATCGTTCCCGCATCGTCGCTTCGGGACGGCATTGCTGTGAAAGTTGTTGGTTCGATCTGCTCATACCCTAGGCTATCGACGGGGGACGGTAATCAGTAAGGTCTAACCGCCTTCTAGGAAAGAGTTTCAGAGCTTGCCCTGGGTCCTCCAAAAGGGACCTGCCGGCGCGGACGCGCACGGTCGCGCGATACACTCGTTTCCACACGGTGCCAGACCGCGGCCGCGCGCCGCAGCCGTTTCATACCCCCGTGTTGACAACGGGGCCGGCCGGCCGGAGGCTCTGCGATTGGTGCATTTTGTCAAGCGGCGCAAGGTCTTTCCACGCTTCCTTCCAGACGACAAGAATCTCTTGAGTTACACAGAGAAAAAAGCTTGCAAACGCACGAGGCCCGCAGAAAGGCAAAGGGCCTGAGCCGCTATTCTTCGCCAGAACAACCAAGAGTACGTCGTTTGAAAGTGATTCCATGCCCGGCACTATCGCCGCTTGCTCGGTAATGAGGAGAGGCACACCTTGAAGTGACGGACGGGTCTCGTGCTTTCATCATGCTGTCGCAGGCTGTTCGTTCCGACGACGGTTTTGACGATGATGGGCGCTCGAGAAGCCGGGCTTGCTATTGCGGCTGAAGTTACGGCGGGTTCTGTTAGCGGGCTGTTTTTGAGATACGCATCAATTCCGTCGCGTTGAGAATTCGTCCGAAAACGTTAAGCAAGTCCCTGGGGGAAAGCCGGTTGACCTATCAGCCAACCCGTTCAAGGTTTGAACCAAGGACGCCGCGTAGATCAAATCAGACGCGACTGAGCCATGGATTGGATGAACGAGCCGAATACTCTTCAATATTTAAGCTGCTTGTTGCAAGCAACACTCGTTGCATGTCGAAGCGCTCGTTCATTCAGACTGCCAAAGCATGCGTAGTACTGAAACGAGCTACTCCACGTACATGCTCATCCAAGTATCCGTGTCCAGATTACTGGTCCGAAGAACAAAACATTCGGCTTAGAGATATTCGACAGGTGGTCATGGCAGAACTTTTTCTACCATATCATCAGTCGCCTCAAATAAGAGAGAACATCACATGTCTGTAACGATTACTATGAAGATTGATAGCGTCTGTATTATTATGAACACCGCGTCTAGCTTTCAAAGGAATGAGTCAGAGATGATATACGCGCGGCCAGTCTCTTCTGTCGGTGTCATCCGCGATAGGACCCTCCTCACTGCCCTCAACTTCTAGACTGTTTCTTCCACTCCAAATTGCTCACGCGGAGGGTCCTCCGTTTGAACCGCAACTTCCGCTCTCCTCTCGCGCTCCTTCTTACACCCCTCGCACTCGCACAGAGGCAACGTGCAGTCCAGTACCAAAGACCAGACGGCGACGGCCATTGCCTGGTTGAGTGGAGACCAGTACACCAAGACTTTGGCGGGCCAAATGCCCAGAAATTCCGGACACGTGGCGCGGATACGTGCCGGCAGCTCGTTGTCGGGGGCGCGGCCGCCGTACGGATCTTCCAGACGTCCGCAGCCGTCCGGAGCCAGAGCGTAGAATTGAAAGTTGCCGTTCTTGCAGAGCTGCAGCGTCAGGCTGGTTCCGTTGGTCTTGGTAGCCAGGTACTGGTTCAGACCTGGTAAAGACGTCATCGAGGAGAGAGTTTGTCGATTCGTCGAGGCTTGAGTACAGATACAATGACCAGAAAACAGCATGCCTACATGTCTGCTTGGTAAAGAGCTCTCACCCAGGAAATTTTCAAGCCCGACTCTTATTTTTGATGTACGAGCAGTTGACTGCGTGAGTTGAACAGTAACCTAGATTTTAAGGCGCTCGTTGTTGACCCGGTTGTGAGTCGCGCGTGCGCGTGCGCGCGCGCGCGCGTCGAATCGTATTAAACCTTGATGTTTGAGCAGATCACGAAGGGTTTGTGGGCAGCCAAAGTGCAGACGGTACGTTCGCATCTCCGGTGGGCTTGGAATGGATGCAACGACGTCACCACATACTATTAGAACTTTCAAGGACTGTGCAATTCTCAGCAGCCAACGACAAAGAGTTTGTGAGCTTGCTTGACCATTATCTTTGGCCGGGCAGTACTGAACTTGACCAAGTCGTTCTAGCCCATCAAAAATCTTGGCAAAACGCGCAAAGTCTTCACAGCCACCAAATTCAACGTCAAAGGAAAGTCTTGCTGCTAACCAGGTTTCATAACCAGACTCCAGTGTGGTTCTTTGACCAATAACCGCGTTATGCCATGCTAAAAACGTGGTTAACTGCTCCAGTCCGGTTAGCGGACATTCAACCAGCTTTGATCCAGCACGTAACCGACTACGTTTAACCGCCAAAAATCCATCTGCGTGCATGCGCAACAAATACCCTTACCTTGTTCCGGTTGAGGCAGAGGCACCGGGCACAGCCGCTCCACTCTGGTATCGGTCGTGAAGCACTTGACCCCTCCCGGAATCATGCGAGCAACTGAGACCATCAGGTAAACGAGCACCGGCAGCGTTACGATGTACGTCGCGATCAGGAGTCCCTGACAGTATGGGTCGCGCTTCCGGGCCCTCTTTCCTTTCCTTGGTCTTGTAGCAGATCACCGGGGGAACTTGTAGATCCGACCCAAACTGGCCGTCCGAAAGCTCCACTGACTGGGGAGTGATGTCAGCAGCTGCCTTCGAAGCCGCCACGTGTCCTTGGAAAGCGGCGGCCCTCGCGTCCTTGTTTGGCGTTTGTATTTCGCTGGTGTAGCTGAGATCGAAGGGGTTGAACTCATTGGCCGGCTCCCAGCTAATAGTGCGCTCTTGCTTAGCGGTATCGTTTGACTTTACCCAGCCAATCTCGGACTTCAGGGACTCGACTTGAACTGACTTAGTAACCTCTTTCTTTCCAGTGACGTTGTCGGCGTGATTTGGCGAAGGGCCGGGTGCTTCCACATCTGGGGCCTCCTGAGAGCTGGCGCTCTTCTCCCAAGGAAAGCAACAGCAGAAGATGCACCTCAGAAGGCAGATCAGCAGGCAGCCGACTACCGCCAGGGTCGCCAGACCGCCGGACAAAGCGATAAGGAAAGCCACCCAAGCCATCCAAAACAGAATGAGGCCGAAGAGAACCACGCTGAGAAGGATGGCTGTGCCCAGGAGAATGCGGAGTACTATGGGAGTGTGCTTTGGATGGAGGACGTTTACAAGCGGAGGCGGAATGTGACAAGTCTTCCTTGGTGCTTCGATCTGATAGAAGTCGTACACCGGTTTCGTCAGCGATTGGCACTTAATTACTTGTAGCGGTCGGGGCGTGTTCCCGAGCACTGGATTTGTCCAATTGGAATGGTTGCTCAGCAAGAAGCCGTTCACCAGGGTCGGCTCGGGGAGCGACTGGTTGGTGGGGAGAGTTTGAGCGCTGGATCCATTGGGAGCACTGAGAACTGCAGAGAAGATGCGATGAGTATTGGACATGTGTACTCCATGAATTCGAGCAGCGAGCTGAACAAGTATCAGTAAGTAAAGAGCCCACTTAATCAACATTTTGTGGCTTATTTCTACATCTGGCCGACTCAAAAGGTCGGCAATGTCACCCACCCGTTTACTTTCCCGGCAAGGATTTCACTCAGCCCCAGTAGTAATATTCTGAACAAACATCCTCAACATTCAGACTCTGTACTACATCCCTCTGGAATCTTAACGAACTCTTTGGAACGTTGCTCGGTAACAAAGCCCTCGAACAGCACATGGGCGGATTCTGACGTCTTCACAAACTTTACATGCAACACAAAGCCGTACAAAAGACGAAGTCTTACACAATCCGAATTGTCGACAACCACAGGATGGCTACATCACGTAGAGGGATGCTAAGTAAATTCAAATCTAAAATGCAGTGAGCTAGAAGCAGGGCAGCAATCCAACCTCCTCCTCCTCATTACATGCATGCTTTTCAAAGGGTGCACTTCGCCTTACGTACCTGTCCAGCAGCAGGTCACCAGGACTAGACTCCAGTAGCGCGGCAGCGGGGTCCTTTCTTTTTTCCTCTGCATGTCTGACGTCATCCTGACTCACGCTTGACCCAAACCTGTTTCCCTGATTGTTAGGAGCAAAAGCCGCTGGGTCTGAATGCCGAGCTCAGAAAAAAGAACTGCTTTTGTTCAAAAGCCATGACAGGCCGTCTTCCGCGCACGGCCGCGGACTCGGGCCGGTCGCCGCCTCGGACCAGCCGCGGCCCAGGCCCAATACCAGCGCGGTTTTGTCAGGTTCCTGGTCTTGACCTCGGCCGCGGCCGCGGCCGTGCGACGCCGCGCCGTTTGAGGCGCGGCCGCGCCTCGCGCTAGGCTGGTGTTGCGGGGCCTCTGCTCTAAGGACCGCCGGGCAGGTCAGGAGCGTTTCCAGACAAGCAGCAAGGCCTCTCGGTTGATTTGCGGGCCTTCTTTTCCACTCTGGGGAGAATCTGTCATCACAGAATCTCAGAAAACTAGTGCCTACATGGGAGATAACTTTGGAAGTGTTCCCCGTAAAGTGGGTGAGACGTCTAATCACCCATATTCCGGGGAATTAGTGAAAGAGCGGACTGTGTTATCAGTGGACGACGTTTTGTATGAACCCTTCCATCAGCGGATCATTAGTACACTTCGTGACAAAGAGAAAGGGACTTGATTTCTCTGGGGATCCATAGGTCCATTACAGCAAGACGAATCTCTTAAGGAACTTATTGTGCAGGAATAATAAGTGCAAAGCTTTCCGGAATGTGAGGCTCCGCTGGTTGATCAGAAACCAGAGGCGAAGATGTAGGCATATTCAACCTCCTGGTTGACAACTGTAGAAACGCAAGACCACTAGAGTCACCACTCGAGCGCCCCGGAACGTGTGGATAAGCCACGGGAAGTAGACAGACAGGTCTACCTTAGACGTGCAGACAAAGCAGCGCCTTTCACCGACGGAAAGGATTCAAAGGGCCCATACTAGAGAAAGTTGTAAAACGTAGGGACGACCTCGTCAGGGAAGCGAGAGCGATGCAAACCCGATCGAGTGGCGGATGTTTTTATTGAGAACATTCAACGACAATGTATATTTCAGGACAAAGTTTCAATGTATAGGTCGGTGATCAGAATATAGGTGACAGTTGTATTGTTCTCGATACATGTGCAGCCAGGCATCTTGTAAGTATTGGATGTCGATTTGTGCTCTTGAGTTGAAATTGCTTGACCCGCTTGCCTCATGTTCCGTCGACCATTTTCTGAATTCCTTTATTGGCTTTCACCTTCTCTTCACATTGCGGAACTGTTGAACGATGGTTGATTCTAGATGTACTTCAGGCAATTGAAGTTGCCGGGCATGCGTAAGAGATTGCATGCATAAGAGATTGCTTTACTTCGCATTTGCATTTCAAAGACGAAGTGCAGTCAAAAGGGGATCCAACAATTCAAGGTTCTATGTCTGACTCAAGCCCATACTGCCTTCATAAGAGGGAAACTCCGAGGGAAACTCGGAGTCCGTCCTTGAACCCGAACGGTTAACCGTTCACATTTAACCGTAAACGTTTGACACAGCGTCTTCCAGCCATCTTTCTTTACTGTTGTAATGAACATAGCACATCGATCATACACCAAAGAAGCATGTGCGTCTGTACGGTCGCTGGCGGCGTGTGTGCGCGCGTGTGCGCGTGCGCCTGGCCATGCATCTTTCGCGGCTCCCAATCCCCCGCGAGGTTCTTCGAGGACCGTCTTTGTCTAATGCACGCGAGCGACCGCCCCCACTTGGTAGATCTTCCATGGCAGCTGGCAGAAGATTCGCCAAAAATGCCGCGCTTTCGGGTGCCGTTTTCGCTTTGTTATACTGGGCGAGCTGCGCCGGGGTTCAGGGTTCAGGGTTTCTGGCGGCCACCGATCTCGCCATCAATGAGGGGTCCGCCGACCGCGCCGCAGTCCGCGCGCTGTTTCCCCTGGGCGCGGAAACAGCCCGCTGGTGACAGCTTCGCAATCGTCAGTCGTCATCTGCCGCGAGCGCAACATCAGCTCCGGGCTGCGGCGTGTGGCTCGGATGCCTGTGCGCGCGTGGGCAATCCAGAAGAGGTAGCTGCTGGCGCTGACGCACACGGATTGGTCTCTCTGCCGGAGAGCTGCAACACGGTCTGCCGCAGATTCTGACGGCCTGTTTGCGAGTATAACCCTGACGGGTAGGGGGTTGGCGTAGCGGCTTCGCTCCAGTACGAGTGTACTATCGCGCAAGGAACCTTAAGCACTTAATGAGTCTGTACTTCAGGTGAAATGGATTGAATCGCTGCAGCGAATCAGAAGAAGGCGTTAGGAGCAACACTAAACGGAGCGTTTGAAGGAACAGCCTGACTCTCAGCACCTGTCTCGGTACGAAGGATCCAGATCTTCGTTTCTCACCCCTTTCAAATTTGTAAGTCGTATGCTAGGAGGATTTGAACAATATTTCTGATAGCAATCTCCGCGTTTGCAGGATTGCACTTGACAGTACATTTCACGTTGAGAGACACGTCAGACTCCCGATATAATCAGGATGAAGTGGCAGCTGTGGATGCTACAGTGGCTGCGAACTCAGAACCAGTGCTTAAGTATGAGATGATGCACGATTTAGGCCATTATTTTGGTTGATGGGCTGTGACGTCTTACACTTGTCGGCTGTTTTTGCCTAGGACTGTCGAAAAGCGGAATAACACTTGTCGGTGCATCTGGATGCACTTTGGACCCAAAAGGAGCAGTGGGCTCAAAAAGCTGACATGAGTATCAACGGTCAGCTCCTTCAGCGACGAAAGCCTTCTACAAATCACACTAAGAATTGCGAATTGAAGGTATCTACCAGCTTAGACCCCATCGTCCGGATGTAGCAGCATCGTAAGAAAACGAATTGATATGAACATTCGAAAACGGCTGTTGCAGGATTCATGAGGCACGTCACCATGCACGTCACCACCGATGATATCGCGAATCGCAACTCTGAGCATGGGCGATCCGCAAGTCTTTGGACAATCATGAAGGATGCTGTGGAAGGGTTCATTCACACAAACGCGTCTCCTTCTTGGCCCAGTATTGAGATTCATAAAATGGTCAAGCACACAAGTTTTCAAAAAACCGTGACTTGCCTCTAGAAGGACGCATGACGAGCCGAAGCCAAAAAATATTTCTGGAAAAGGGCAATTCTGTTCCTCTGAGCATCTACCCGTTGGCAACGCCCCGACTTTTAGCCTGATCCGTCCAATGAGTCATTGCTGCTACGACAACCAATACCCGCTTTGAAATCAGATGGTAGTCTGCTGGCAAGGTCCTGCTTTTGGACATCAAAGCTCTTTTAACTTAGGTTCCGGGGGAAAGCAGGTATACTTTCCGCCTGCAAACGGGAAAGGTGAAAATGTTCCGTTTGGTCGTGATAGCAAGGCGGAAGTCCCACGGCTTGCACTCTCTTCTCGCTGATTTTAGATCAGGGTTAAAACAGGCGTAGACCTCAAGATTAGAGACTCTATATATCTGAGACCACGCCTCTATTTATTTTACATCCCCCTTTTTTGGCTTTCTTCGTGACCTTGATCGTTCCGTCTCTAGTCCAATCCTTCAGCATCCTTTCGTAGGTTATACCAAGACGCTGGTTTCCAGCTATCGTCAAATAGGCTGTCACAGGCATGCTATCAGCGTCCGCTTCTCTGTGGTTAGGAAACAGTTTAAGGATCCAGCTAGGAGTTTCAATGTAGTACGGATTCTGCGGTGTCGCAAAGAATGTCCCCGAAAGAGTTTCCCCGCGCAACTTGTAAAGAAACAAGTACCGGGCCAAGATCTTTGAATATGGAGGTAACGATGCGCCTGAATACCCTTTCTCTAGCTCAGTCGTTGGAAGTTTCTCTGGGTGTTTGTTCAGGTTTGCAATGTGCAGCTTCGACGCCCGCCGATACCGACCTTTCACCAGCGCAAGCCGCTTATATTCCCCCATTGACGTGACCATCTCACCGAAATCAGGCGTTAAGCTTTCTTCCAACCCCAACGCATTTTCGTCCGCGCGCGGGATAAGGGGCTAGAAACGCTTCCCTCCAAAGAGCAGGAGACCATCTCAGGAACGACTTGCAAGCGCACGTCATGGCTTGCAGCAGGGAAAGAGGATCCTGTCCCGCTAGCTTGCGCAGAATGATCACGATTACGTCCACTGCAAGACCGTCCATCTCTGCGCGCACAGGTGTTTGCTGAAGAGCTCAGACTTCTGCTGGTGCCCCAAGTTTAAACTAGTTTTTGCGGCGTTCTCTAGGGCAGCCGCAACAGGATTCTGTCACCGGCGCGCCCGCGCCCGCGCGAGGGATTGAATGCATTACGTCATTCACCTCGCTTGCACTTGACGCGGAAAAGAAAGCGTACCTTATGGCGCAGACGCGCGCGGCGCGGCGCGCGGCTCGGTCCTCTCGCCGGGACGCGGCCGCGCGACTCTAGTCTCCGCGCCAGAGCGCGGCCGCCCGTGGTTCTGGTCATCTCGCCGGAGCGCGACCGCGCGCGACTCCCGTCTCCGCGCCGCAGCGCGGCCGCGGGGCGGCGACGGGGTCGGCGCGGCCGGCGATCGGAACCCCCCGGGGCGCCCGCGAGTTCAAGCGGCGCGTGTCTATTCCAGCCGTATGTGAAGTTGTTCAAACACTCTTTCCGAGAACTTCTAAAGCCCGCCGCTATGAATGACCTTCCGAGCGATGTCGTTTGGGCGATCCTCCGCAAGCTGGCTGTGCAGGACCCGCTCTCCTTGCTGCGCGCCACGTGGGCCTTGGCGCCCTTCTATCGCGCTGCATTAGCCGACCCACAGGTCTGGAAGGAAGCTTTCTATGGCTCGCATTTAGGAGATAGCATGCAGTCCCGATCTCTGTCCTACTTCCCAAAGGAAATTTCCAAGTTGGATGCGGAGGTGGATGCGCGAGGGGGGTTCAGGCGTCTGCTGATGGCGAGGTTACTCGGGACGCAGAAGGCGTCTGAACAAAACCAGAAGTGCGGCGAGTCTGGCCGCTTCCAACCGGATCTCTTTGAGGGCGAGGTGCTGATCGTCGCCCGCATTTGCAGCAACCTCTTCT